CTTAGCCCCTCAGAGCGGGTGCTATTTAATATGGAGCCTCATCATTTAAGCTTTACAAACAGACAATAATAACTTAACATCAATTCTTAAATGAACATAAAGTCTGTGCAAAGATGCAAGGATGGATAATGTGTTTGTGCTGTTTAATTGCTGTTAAGAGGTGCAGTTTTACTTATGTGGGCTAAAACAATTAGTTGTGATTAATCAGTGATTGAAATAACCAGTATGGTAATAGAACTAAATACAGAGTAATGATGCACAGACCCTAAAACATGACATCCACTGAGGGAATAACGTCCCTACAGCAGCTATCAGGGCAAAACTCTGCAGATATAAACACGTGGAATCAATGGCCGTGTCTCAATTCATTAGAACAAGAATACGGACTCGTGTTCTCGCCAAGTATGTTCTTGAGAAGAACACAGGAAAGTGTGGGGAGAACGGGAGCACTCAGCATAAATATGGGTCAATTGGAACAGAAGCATAGTGATGACATCACCATCTCCTGTTATTAATAGTCTCTAGATAATAATGAATTGTGACTTTTTTCATTTAGTGGGGGAATAATAATTAACACAGTCAAATGAATGAATGAACACAAATGAAATGAACATTTTACCAAATAAAACAAAAAAAGTCAGAGGCCATCAGAGGCAGCGGTCCTTCACACACGGCTATGCAGAGAGAGTGCTGCTGCAGACGGGCTAACGTTAGCCCTGGCTGCTGTTAGCTTTTGAGCTCCGCTGGTTGCCGCGGTACACTCAACTTGGGGGGGGGGGGAATTTTAATTACTCATTAAATCAGTTAATGGGCCATATAGTGACACGTAAAAGTATAATGTTCTCACCTCAAATGATCTTGAAATGTACTTTTATTGAACAACAACCAACTTAGTAACTTAATACTCTCTGTGAGCGCTAACCTGGAAGCTGCTGCTGCTGCAGTGCATGCTGGGATAGCTGTCAATCTCATATCACATAGATGCAGTTGTTCCATTATAGGTTTGACCTCCAACTGGTGTCTGAAGGACAAACATGTTCTTTATTCAACAGATCCAAACAACAGAATTTACATTTGCTTTCATTAAGACTTTTAAACCAACCAAGCCTTGATGTCACCAAGACAATGGAGGAAGGTTGTCAGGGAGACGCTAGCAGTGGTCCTCACAGGGAAACTGTAGGGGTGAAAGGATAGAACCCTGAGGGACGCCACAGTAAAGCTGTTGCTCTGTTAAATAAAAACCTGATGAAGCTGAAGTTTCTGAGCCTGCGTCTTTCCTCCCCTCATGTTCAGAAAAGGAAATCCTCATCTCTGCTTGACGCTCGGATCGCAAAGATCTACAGACGCCACCTCCACAGCCAGGATGGGGAGGACTCTGCCAGTGACGACGATAACTGTGGGTTTGGGTCAGAACATGAAGCTGAAGCCCCTCGTTAATCCGCTGTAGGTCATGTTGATCTTTTCTGTCTCTGCAGCGTCCCACAGAAGGAGATTGGCTCTCTCTGCTCACGGAGGCGGCCACATGTCCAGGAAGGCGTTCGGTGCCAACAGGAGAGGTCTGCTGCGGGGCGGCCTGTCCCACAAAGGGAGCAGAGGGGGGCTGGGGGCGGGCGGCTCCATGTCGGGCCTCAGACTAAAGAGGGGCGTGGCCATGAGGGAGGCGGGGCGGAGAGGCCGGGTCAGACTCCGCGGAGGCTCCAGGATGCAAAGGAGGGGCGACGACTCAGAAGAGTCGGATGACGATGAAGACGATGATGATGACGACGACGACGATGATGACGATTATGATGAAGAAGAAGGCGAGAGCGAGGAAGAAAAGGAATATCTGCGGCACAAACACAGGAGACGCAGGAGGGACTACGATGAAGACGAGGATAGCGAAGGGCAGGACTACGACCCTGAAGAAGAGGAGGTGGACACCGCTGAAGATGAAGAGCTGAAAAAGGAGGAGGATGAGGAGGAGGACGGTCGCTGGGATTCAGACCCAGAACCTCCGGTTCTCCTGGTGTCCGACCTGAACGACGAGCTGCTGAGCGGCTCCTACCTGACGGTCACCCTGCAGCAGCCTCACAGAACCAAGAGCCAGTCAGGTGAGCAGACCCACACTCTGGGGCCGGTCCTCTTCAGGGACCCAGGTAACAGTCCTTTTTCAGGGACCCAGGTAACAGTCCTTTTTAGGGACCCGGGTGCCGCTTCTGGTCTGGGACCCTGTTTTTTTTTTTCTTTTTTACTCTGCACCACTCAGCATGAATCCAACATGACTGATTAGTTTTTCCTGTAGTTCTGATCCAGATGAATTCCTGGCGAAAGCTCCGCCAGTTAAGTAACACATTAAGCTTAATCAGCATCATTAATGATGACCACGGGTCGATGGACCGACTACAGCTCACCTGTGGACATCTGCTTTACAGTGTTAGCTCCCCGCGGCTAAGCTAGCTGCTTCCTGGAGGGCCAGGTCAGCGAGGCGCTGCTGTTCAGGCAGCTGAACTCATGAGGATAAATCATTGGAAACAAAAAACTGCTTTAGAACAGAAACAGGAGAATTAATGAAGAGCAGAAGCTCCATCATGAAAACCCTTTAATGATCAAAGTGTCTCTGAGCTGGATGATCTGAGCAGGTTGAGCCCAGCAGGCCACGCCCACAGACAAGGAGCTTCAGCATTGTCTGTGTTGTTGCTGAAAAGCTTGATTTGGAACAAACCAGCTGAACCAAGCAGACCTGAATTAGATCCGATCGCAGAGCCACAACTTGGGATCGGATCAGAACATCCTCATCATCCTGCATTAGTTTCAGGAATCCGATCTCCACCATGGCCTCATTATTGGGTCAATAAGCTTCAGATGACTTTAACTGGACCTCTGCTTTATTCTTCAGCTTGTGCAGAAGTCTGTCATGTTTAGACCTGAACCCTGGAGGTTGTTCCAACCCGTGAGCTTCCTGTCTGCTCTGTTCAGGCTCCATCGTGCCGAAGCTGGAGGCCGCCATGGGGCTGAGGTCAGCAGCAGGGGGAGGTGGTCAGCAGGGCTTCATCCAGAGGAAGGCGGCTCATTCCAAACCTTCCAGAGTCCGAGGTGCTGATTCTGCCGACACCTTCACCCCCAGAGGACCCGGCAGGTAGAGCTCACCTTCTCTGCATCACTGGGGGTTTAAATCATATTTAAATGTCAAATCATTCTGGCTTAAACATTTATATAAATGTT